ACACCAAGCCACCAGATGCTGCTGTGTCTCGCTGCATTTCGGGCGAAAATGTAATTATGTAGCCATCAACTATTCCTATGCATTCATTGTGCTGCGGTTGCCTTTGCCATAATTGTGTGCCACTTGTTGTTGCTGGTGTTGGATTTGTACTCGGTTTTGGATTTGGTAGGTGGGCCAGGTGGGCAGATAGCAGATATACAGATACAGCAGATATACCTAGGCAGTCGGCCGCAAATGTGTATGGCCGACGTAATTTGATTCCCACATGCATTTTAATTAAAAGTAAACAACAGAAAGTTTCGCAAATACAGCTCGTCATGCTCGGCGACTTGTCGTCCGTTTGGGGCCGCCATTTGGCACCGCATTTGCACGTTTGCATGCGAAATGCAAAACGCAAAACTATTCGAAACTATGCGAATCCACATCCACATTAAAATCCAACTCTGCCAACTGTGTTGCGGTTTTCGTTTCGCCCACTCGCGGCAGAAGCTGCAGTAGCGGCAGTTAAGATAATTAGCCACTTTGGCCAGCATTTTCGTCTGGGTGGACATCAATGTTACAACGCAGCAGGTGTGGAAATAATTAGCCACATTGCCCAGTTTTCAAACTGTATTTTTTTAGGACTCCAAAATTATGGTTTGGAAATTAATAGTTTCCAAAACAAAATATTAAAAACCTTTTCGAAATTAATTTATTTATTGCCCTAACAATTTTTTTATTATATGTTTTAAAATACATAAAATAAGGTGTAACGTGTTTTTTAAATAAATATTTTTGTTACCAAATGTTACCATGTTTTAAAAATTAAATGTCTGATTAATTTAAAAAGTATAATTTTTAATGATATAATTAAATCTTAAATACAAAAATTTTAAATTAATTTTATCTTTATACCTTAATCTTTTTTTTTTATACAAATTAGTGTATTTCTTTTTTTTTTGCCGATTAAATTACGTTTTACTACGGCAAAAGAGCTACGCAATTAATGAGCGAAAAACAAAAATACCACGCAAATATCTTGGGAAATATGGAAGGCATAAAAACTGGCTAGATCGAGTGGCGTGACGTCTTCGGGGGCCCATTCATGAATAGTTCGATGGTGAAGGGGTTGCCGAGGGGAAGGGGTAGGGGAAGGCAAAATGCGACCCCGAAGAAAAGACCGGACCCAGAAATGTCCATTGTTGGGTGCTAAACCCTCTTCTCCGCCCCTATTTTTTTTTTGTTTTTTTGGACGCTCTTCGTTGAATTTCATGAATGAATTTAATTTCGCTGCGGTCGTGGTTCTTTTTCTCATGTTTAGCGTGTTTCGTAGTACTAGTTGGGCATTACGGCGGTTGGCAGGAAGGAAGTGAGGTAAGAAGCAGACAATGCCAATGTTTTCATTAATGCGACGCAGTTGCCAAAAACAACAAAAACAGATTGCCTCAACAAACAAAAAATTCACAAGAAAGCCGAATTTTATATGCCCTCTTGATTTTGTAAGAAAATATATTTCACAAAATTATATTAAAAAATTTTTTTTTAAATGACAAATTAATACATTGTAGTCGTTAAATTTTGAACAAAATTATATTGCTGAAATATATGACTATGATAATACGCTCTTCAAGGGTATAAAAAAAGCAAGAAAGAAGTAAAAAAAAACAATGAATGAATGAGTGAACCCAAGTGAATGAGTAAATGAATGAATGTATAAATGAAAAGACGAAAACAAAAAAACAACGGAAGCAATTCTTCCTGCCCCACACTCACAGATACACTATCGCACTTATACATTTACACAGAGTATCTCACAGATACTTTCCAGAGCTTATTGCTTAGTTTTCATTCATAAACACGTAGCGACCGTATTTTTGGAAGGAAAGGAAGTGGAAAATAATAGATATGTGTTTGCATTTAAGAACCCCAAACCAAAACGGAAGTTCACGTGGAACGTGTGGCATTTTCTCGAAATCACCGCAATTTTCCAATTCCCCATCGAAGGTTCCCCGACATTAATCAGCTGTTTAGGCTGTCTGTCAGTCACTAAAGTCGACATATGCCATTAATTTAGTTGCTTTTCATCAAAATTGGCATCATTCGTAGTCTTAAAAAAATCTCAACAATCGATTTGAGCACTAAGAAAACAGGAAAACTATTATTTTAAAGAGGTATTGAAGCTTTAGAAAAAATGCATCAAACGCCAAAAAAATAATTTAAAAACTTCTCCAAAAATATAAATTGTACAAATTGATAATATCATCTGATAAAAAGTGCAAATTGGTTTTTTCTGATTTTTTAAAAATACTTTTAGAAAATAAAAGGAAAGAATACCTTTAGGAAGATAATTTTTCTAAACTATGGTGAGTTTTGAAAATTTCTTTTCTTAATCATTTTATAAAAATTAATATGGAGACAGCTTACTTTTGACATTACAATATACTTAAAATTTTTAAATAAAAAAAATAAAAAGAGACATTTTTTAAGATTTAAAGCCAAATGGCATCATAAATCTTAAGTTCAGTGTGCTCACCTGTCTTGGCTTTTTGCCCGTGTCATCGATAACATTGAGTGGCGTTGCCACTTGACGTCAGCAGAAAGGGGGCGGCAGGTGGTGGGCGTGGCACCTCCACTTTTGGCTTCCACGTTAGCCGGGCTCTCCTGCTAATTAGCTCGCCGTTCGTGTGCGTTTTCATTTGCCATTTACGCACTTCCCGCCCACAAATTCTGCGCAAAAGCAAAGGCACCAGGCAAACGGCTTTTCTCGTCTCCGATTTCTGGCTTTTCTGGCCTTTTTGCTGATGCCGATTGTGGATTTGTGGAAATTGTGAACGTGGATGTTGGATGTTGCTGCGTCAGTCAGTCGCACGTACTGATTGTTTGTGCGAAATGATATTCAGCTGGAAATCGACTGCCGGCTGCCACGTGGAAAGTTCATCCCCCCAACACCCACACTCTTTTTCAGGTCCCATAGTAACGCACTGAAAAATCATTTTAATAGAAATTTCTAAATATATTTTGGTCAGATTAAAATAAACCCATAAAGTGGAAGGGGCCACAGATATCACTAGGGTTTTGTATTCACTTATAAAGGAGTTGAAAAGCAGGCATTGAAAAATAGATTGCAGCATACTTTTAGACACCTTTATATATGATTTCAAAACTCTAGCGAAGATATATTTTTTATTTAAATAATAAATAAATGACAACTTATTCTTACATAATTTAAATTGATTTAAATCGCTATATATTTTAAAATAATTTAAAATTTAAAAATTGATATTATATTACGAAAAAATTGTTTTGTATGTTGAAATTATTTTAAGCAATTCCTTTGCTAAAATTCTCGTATTTTTTAGTGACTTAAAGTTTAAACAATTTTTAAAAAATATAAGCTATTTAAAAAACGGTCTTAAATTTCTTAAATATATTTTCTCAGCAGCTACTTCATTTTTAAAATAGTTTAAAATCTGGAAAAATATATTTTCGAGTGCATAAATGGGGGCATTTGGCTATCACTTCCGTTTGCACCCGTTTTCCGTTTTACATGCAATCGACGACTGCTCTTTCTCCCTTTCTCTTTCTCGCCTCCTCAATTACTGTGCGAGTGAGTTTTCTTGCTCGCTTTTGTTGCTACTGTGCCACAATTGCATACAACAATAAACTTCCGATTTCATTCATTGTTTTGCTGATTGCAAAACTCTTTCTCTCCCCGGTTTTCTCGCTTTTTTCCTATTATATTTTCCTGTTGTTGCTGCTGCTGCCGTATTTTTTTCCTATTTGCTTTCCGTTAGTTACACACAATTTCTTTTATAACAGCGTCAGCAGCTGAGGCGTTTCGCAGTAATGAATGAAATGCTCATGAATGGGTTAAGCTGTAATTGAATTCAATTTACAATCGAAACACTTGAGCAGAAAGGCAGAAATTTAATATGACGTCAGTGGAGTATCGACGAGGTCTAGGTGTAATTTAAAAATATTTAAGGGTTTTCTGGACTTTTAATTAAAATTTAAGTCAAAGTAGTTGTATTTTACAAGCTAATTGTCATAATAATTTATTTATTTAGCTGCCAATGATCCTTAAAAAAGTATCAAATATTTATTTAGCTGCTAATGATCCTTTAGGAACTGCATTAATTTAGTTTAATGAGTCTTTCATAAAAGATAAAGTATCCTACAACCAGTAGCACTATATCAAAAAGCTTTTTAGCAGCCTTACAATAATTCTTAATTTATGCCTCTGCTATAAACAGGCATTTAAATTAATCCGATTAATCTAGCCGATAAGCCGACATTTCAATTTATCAGCCAGCTGTAAAAGAGAGAGTAAAACGGGTTGTACTGCCAGTTGTTAATGGGTTCAGTTCAATCGGGAGCCTCTCATTATTTTGGTCTTATCAACGGCGCGTGCATATCCGGTGGCGCAATTAAGTCGCTATCGACAGCAAATTCCATTTGCCCCACTCATTGAAGTCCACCCAAACCATCCCGACCATCCAACCATTCATTCATGTCAGACTCTCGCGCCGCTGCTGTTATTTTTATCAATGATCATTTGTAATCATCTGGCGACGAACAAAAAAATAAACAAAATAAAAATTGAACAGCTTCGATGTGAATGAACTCGTCGTCAGAGTTTCCACCCATCGAATGTCTCCTGGCCACTTGGACGTTTGAGAAATGTTTCACTTTAGTGGACTGCTTGTTTAGTTTAGATTCTGTTCCTATTTCGTTTTTATTTTTTTATGGCCATTCGCCTAAAAATAGCTAAAGTTTTCTTTGGGTCAAATGCTTTTGGGCCAACGAAAAGAGAGGAAAACTTTGTAGGCACACATGGTTGACAACATAATATAGATTTACTAGAATAGATTTCCTGTAGAATATTTAAAATATAACATTAAAATGGAAAATATGTTTATTAATAGGTAAATATATTTAATTTAATTTTATTTACAATATAAAATTTTAAATTAATTATAATAACTTTTTACTAACCAAACCTTTTAAATTATTTTTTCCAGTATTCTGCCATCCGTATTGGTCCCGTAGTGAAACGCGATGTGATGAAGGCCTCCACAATGTTGGAACACGAGGCGCAGTAAGTAAACCCCAAAACTTATCGTTTCTAGGTTCACCTTTCCTACCCCTCGTTTATTTTTTTCGTTTGCGGATGTGTCATACGAAATTATGCAATATCAGAATTAGAGTTCTTGAGAATTTGCTGAATGCGGAAATTTATACAGCTGAGAGTGTTCCGAGTAGTGGAACTTCCACTATCAAATTCACTTTCGTAGGGGGTTTATTGAACTCCCCCCATTGAGGGATTTCGCAAACAGAAATTGTGTCGACAGCTGGGGAAATTGATATACTGATGGTGTTTTCTATGAATGACAAATGACTGAGTGATAATCACAGCAAAAAAAAAAAAGTGATGACTTCGCGAATTCTTTAGAAAATTAAACTGAAGAGTTGTGTTTCAGTTACTATGGAATATTATACTTCCTGTTTAAAAGATTACCTATAAAATTGGTAGTTATGATTACCAGGTCTATTTATTACTTAGTAGTTATTTTTTTGTAAAATATTTTTAGAAAATAAGCTGTTTAAAAAGTGTGCAAGTAAAATTTTAAAATTTTTTGTACTCCCTTTTCCTTTTACCACCTTTTTGATGAATACCTTTAGTACTTCCTCTCGAGAACGTGTTCAACTTTACATGTAACACCTTCCCTTGTCCATTTGCAACACCACAGAGACTCACATTTCATTTTATCATTCATAGAGTTGCAGTCCGCAGAGCCCCCTACCATTTTTTTTCTTCTCGACTACATTGTAGGCCATTGCCGCTTTATATTCGAACACTTAAAGCAGCAAGAGGTCCGCGAGACAGCGAGAATAAACGACTTTTTGATATATGACAACGGACAATGCAATTTTATTGCCGCTTAACTTCATTAACACAATTCCTCGGTGCCTTCTACCCACCGAACCCACCGTACCCACCCGCCACTTGATAAACAACGCAATATGGTCGGATCTTTGAAGATTGTGTGTGATATTAGCCGACGAAGGAGGAGTCCCGATGGTCCGAATGGTCGGGTTAAGTGATTCATTTAGCGGCAATCACAAAATGCACTTTACCAGGGGGTAAAAAAAAGCTAAGCTGAATGGAAGGGGATAAGATGTGCCCATGATTTATTATAGGAGAGCGAGAAACCTTTAAGCCGGCAGCTTTGTCTCATTAGCGGCGTTAAGTGATAGTCCAGTCTATCTATATCTTTCACTTTTTCCAGTCCTGTTCTTTGGGGTTCTCCAATTGCAAAACTATTTTTGTGCTCTGCTTGGCAACAATAAAAGCTGCAAAGATACATTTACGGCCCACTCGAATTACGCTGTCTTATGTACGAAATAGAAATGTAACTGCAATTGTATCTGCTATCTTGCACTTCGTATCTTATATCTTATATCTACGCCCAAGACGTAGCACTTCCGTTTCCCTTTTTGCGCATGCGTGCGTTCACTTCGAGAGTTATGGCCCGATTTTTAGACCATACTCTGCACAAACCTACATATTTATGTAGATTCACTATCTTTTACTATGTGTGGCTGGCTGCTCTTCATTTATTTATGATTTTTACGCGTGTGGAATTTTCGAACCATAAAATTTTGCATTTTACGCTGCGAGCAGCGACCATAAAAATCCATTCGTCTGTTGGGGAAGAGGGAAGAGAACTAAGTGCTTCGATGGGTTCTACTATTTATACACTCGAACATATCTCCCTTCTGGGGCTGTGTGTCGCCTTTACGAGTCCCATAAAATATTTAACTGTTTTTATGTGATCTTTTATGCATAAAATTGGCTCGTTCACTCGAAAGTGATCTGCTCAAACAATGGTTGGCTATTTATTATCCCTCGAAGGGGTTTCTTCTCAAAAAAGATCTTCATAAAAGTTTGCCTCGAAAGTGATTGTTTTTTTAGGGTCCATATAACCATAATTTCGAATACATTAATATGCTATCCTAATTTTTGATTTTAACTTGAAATTGCATTTTGATATTCATATCTAATTTATTGAATTGTATCGAATTTTTAATTAGAAGTTGTCTCTTATTTTAAGGTGTTTCCTACACTCCCAGTCTTATAACTAATAGGTATATAACCCATATATCACAATTTAATAGTGTTCTCTCCTTTCCTTTTATTAATCTTCTTCATATTAGTTCCATTCGCTCCACGAATACCCCATAATTCATAGATCGATTAGTTGTGGATTCAATCCTAAACTGTTTTCGCCTCTTCCCAAACAAATTTTTAATCCCCAACCCATTTTCATTTTTATATATGTTCGAGAGAGCGATCCCAAAAAGTGCCCCTCATTAGCTGACTCGAATCCACTTTGAGTTTGGGACCTTTTCCTGTCGACGCAGAGTTTCGATTCTCGAAATGCCAACCATTTCCTGTCATTGAAAGCCCCGCTCACACGGCGAAAAGTTAACCAAGCTAAACAAACAACATCTTGAGCTGACTGACCGATCGTCAGTTGGACTTTTATTTTATCCAACAGCCGAGGTTGTTTGTGATTTCAATTATTAACGCTTCCTGGTGCTCTCGGATCGCCATGTGGCCCGATCATTAGGCCAACTCTTCTCCTTCTCTTTTGGTTTCTTTTTTTTTTACCAGACAGGAAGACCAGCCTGCAGTGTCATTATGGTTATTTTTATTATTATTAGTATTATTATGCTCGTTGGCTGCCCAGTTGCCCAGTTCCAGTCTCTCTCTTTCTCTGATTGCATATACTTTTAATTGTTTTAAATTACCACCGCCAACGAATCTCACTGATCTCTATTTATTTTCTTCTTCTTTCTCGCTCGCCCCCTTTAGGTATGCTACAATTCTGGCCTTCGACGTGAAGATCGAGCGGGAGGCACAGGAAATGGCCGATTCCCTGGGCGTGAAAATATTCCAAGCGGACATTATCTATCATCTGTTCGACAAGTTCACCGCCTATCGCGAGGAACTCAAGCAGAAGAAGCGCGAAGAGTTCCGCTCCGTAGCCGTCTTCCCCTGCAAGTTAAGAGTAAGTAAACATCTTTTTTTACAACTTTTATTGGAATAACAAATATGTGTAATTTTAACTGAGATTTAATGTAACATTAGCACTAAAAGAGTTTTTTTTTGTATTATTTTAATAGGAATATGAAATCAGTTGTTAGATTAAATAAAGAATTTATTGGGATAATATTAGGTTGTAATCAACCATTACCTTATTTTAAATTCCCATCTTTAAATATTTAATAGGGTTTTTTTTTAATATTTTTATTTATTTGAATTTTTGAAAAGACGATCTATAAATAAATAAAATTTACCCAATAATTAGGAATTTCTAGATCTAGATGTTAAAAAATTAAAAATAGTTGTTTGTTATATTTAAAATAAGTGATCTTCGCAATGAATGATTTTGTACAATATTTTATTGGAAGATTTTATTATAATTAGCATGCCATTTGTTTATTTTTTGGTTACCCACAAAATTCGCACTCGTTTTCAAGTGTACGTATCAGATGTTCCGAATTAAAGACGGAAACCCAAAAGACTCGGTGTCATTATAGACATTATTTTAATGTGCCCATGTTCGTGTTCCATTTTCTTATCCCCCCGTCCCTCCAACTTCCCCCTGAGCACCTTCCGCCCAGCTGCAATTACCCCCGAAAGCTACAGGTGTAAAATGCAATCTGCCGCGAACTGAAAATGAGAATGAGACCGAGACTCCGATTTCCCAACGCTCCAACTCTTCGAGACTACAAATCCAAGTAAGACCCAGAATGGATCTCCAGCTGTGGCTTGTCTCCTCTTGACGCTGGCTTAATGATGCTGGCCAACAAGAATGGAACGGGCCTAAACTCCTGCTGGTGGCTGGGGGCTACGATATACTACTACTACATATATAGTAGGTATAAGCCGGGCCAAGACAACCACTCAACAAGCGATTAAAGCCTTAGATCCCAACAGACGCCTGCATCACGTCCACACTTCCTGCTCAAATAATGTTTAAACAGCGTATTTGATTTATAGGCAATCATTAGATTTTGGTCGTATGCAATGTTGGGACTAAACACGCCACACTCTACACTCCACTCGGGGCCACTTTTGGTCCACTCTGGTCCACTCTAGACCACTTCTAGCCACTGGGCTCCCACTGTGCTGGTAATTGGACACACAGCGCACAGCTGTTGGTAGCATTTGTTTCGATCTCGTACACTCGAATTTTGGCATTATAAATATTATAACCTTTTTGAAATTATAGTTCCTTGAACCACAATTAAAAACAACAAATTGTATACGAAACTGCAAAGCATACACATTAATAAACAACATTTTTTATAAAGATCTTTGTTTAGTAGGATTTTTTTAATTCCCTCTTTACTTGTATTTATCAATATCAATTTAATAAAAAAACTACATTATTTTTTTATTTAAACAAAAATTATAAAATTATTAGATAGATTTGAAATATGTTAATCTAATGATTTTCTATATTTTTATTCAGTTTTAAGAGGCATAAATACCTGGTGTCTTAAATCATTTTTTCGAGTGCATTCAGCCAGCTTGAACTTAACGATTCTCTAGAGTGTAAGTCCCAGTCGCAGGTCTTGTAATAACAATGACGTTGTTTAGTTTGAGTTATTAACTCGCCTTCTGTCTTAAGGAGTTGGCCGTGGAGTTGGGTGGATGGTGGATGGTGGATGGAGAATAGGCATGTGCATGTGGAGCTAAAGCTGGAGAAACGTGTTCTCTGGGCCACTTTTCGTTTTTCCCCGGCAACGTACGATCCATTTTCCATGCCGGCTGATTCAGATTGTGCCGCTTCTTCAACTGCTGCTGCAGGCGGCTTCCCATTTGAGGCTGAGGCCTTCTTCAACAGTTGACGCAACGGAAATTAAGTTGTTCTTGGTGCAGTCAAAGTTGTTTTTGGTCGGAGGTTGCCTGGGCACTTTATTAATGGGCCACAACGATAGGAAAATGCACTAGAAAATAGAGGGTAAATAATATTTTCACAAAAAAAGGACAAGATACCCTAAAAAATAAAATAAATTTTATAGAAATTTCATAAAAATCTCAAGAGATGTAAAATGAAGTAGTTTTTACTTCAAAATAATTTAGAAAATTTTTAGCTTTTAAATTAAACTATATGAAATATAGGTATGCTTAAATTAGTTATAAGATACGCGCTTTTTCCATTTTTTTTCAAGATAAAGCCCAACAAACGTATAACCCTATTTAAAGAGTACTCAATTTCCCGACTGACATAAAGTTGTTATGTTATCTTACAAAATCCGTTGTTGGCATCGCCTAAGCCACCATATTTATCGGACATTATTTAAAAAGTAGTTAAGAGCCGGCCCATCGTTATCGATCGTTCCCGATTGAGCCGCTTATTAGTTATACCCCAACGAAATCATCGTCTATCTAACAGTCATTGATCTAATTCCCCCCATTCTCTGTCTCTATCTTTTCGATTCCATCCCACAGATACTGCCACAGTTCATATTCAACAGCCGAGATCCGATCGTGATGGGCGTGATGGTGGAGAACGGCATTGTCAAAGTGGGCACACCAATTTGCGTGCCCAGCAAGGAGGTAAGTGCACTGAGAGAAATATATTATAACTAATATAATTGCTACTTTGTGTAAGTAATTGAATTCAAGATAATTTGAACTTAAAGATTTGAAGGACTATCATTTGGTTATATCGTATCCTTTATAACCAATCAAAATGTTATGAAACTGACTATATTGGTATACTATCTTAAATGTTGGAGAAAAAAAGTCTTAAATTTTATTACATCCGAACTGATCAATGATATTTAAATATTTCTTCATTATGGGATTAATAATAATAATATTATTATTAAGTATTGTTATTATTTTTTTTTCTACAAATATTGAAAGTAAAAATGTAGTCAACCTTTCAATAATATTTTTTCCCTGCTGTCACAATCTATTCGCTGGCAAATATTTAACTATTCTGCGCGTTTCGTCCCACAAAAGGTTCCATTCAATAGGCACGCATTTATTTAGGAGTGCTGCAGATCGGCGGTGTAGATCGCGATGGTTTGGGGTTCTTCTGGGTTCTTCTTCTATGCGGCACAATGGGACGCACAATGAAAGTCCTTGTCTTTGCGGATATGTGCGGAGTGCCGTGTTGTGTTGTCTTGGAAATCGTGTCAAGTATCAAGTATATAATAATAAGGAGCCTCCAATGAGCTGTTTGTTTGATTTGCTACCTTTGGCGGGGCAGCTTTTCATTGTTGACACAGGTGGTGCGGTTTTATTTTCATTATTATATCCAGTATTCTCAATTGTGTTGGGGAAAGATGGGCAAATAGTTATTAGCTCATCGACCGAACGAATTGCGCCGCAAAGCGTTTACTGAATTCCATCATAATAACCACCGACTGGCTTTGCCGGGCCCTCAATTATTGTCCTTCCGTTGATGATGATATAAAAAAAAACAAAATAAAGAAGGAACGACGACACTCATTTCAATTTATGCGCAGACATGTCCTGTTTCCCGTTGCCAAAGACAACAACTGTTTCCTTTCCACCTCTGTCGTCGTCGTTGGTCGTTGGTTTTTGTCGCTTCTTCGATCTTGTGCCAAAGGGTTTATGTTCTGCTTCCCGTACCGCTCTTGACTTTTTACCAGCAGGAGGAAAAAGAAGCGGCAGAAGGAGCAGAAGCAGAAGCAGGAGCAGGAGGCATTCATTGGCAATTATAACTTCCTCAATTATCCAAGAGAGCGCTGCTAAGCTGTGCGCTTCCCGTCATTCATCGTCATTCTTTTTAACGTCTTCCTTCTCTCTCTCCCCCTCGCTCTCAATGGCCTCTTCCCTCTCGCTTTTTGCCAGCTTTAATACTGATTTTTGTGCGGGAAATACCCTACGATTCGTTTAGATAGATTATATGGATTCTGGAGGGTGTTTAAATATATTTTACATAATTTAAAAAATACATTTTGTATCAATTCCTTCTACATTCTTAATAATAGATTTTTTTCTTGAATTGTTAAAAATGTTCTTTATCAAGAAATGCCACAAAAATCTGTGAAATTACGAAAATACTTAAAAAAGTGTCTAAAAGAATGCTATAAAAAATACAACATTGACATGTAGGATTTTCCCCTAATACTACCAGGACTAAAATTAATCGTAGCATACTTTTAGACACCTTTAAAAAAGGTTTTGTAACTTTAGAGATTTTTAGCGCAGATCTGGTGCTAGATAAATATTAAAATATTATTTTAATAATATATTTAAAAGTTGTAGCTGATTCCTAAAGTCCCCACAATCTGAGCTCACAATCCGCCGGCACACACATGTGATCGTTTGCTAACCCCTGCTCCAGGCCCACATGTCCATGTCCATTCCCCCGACCTGATCCAATTCTACTTTAGATCTGCACTTCATTTCTGCCCAAGAATGCTGGGCCATCCTGGTCTGGTCGTCGGTTGGCAGTTTTGTCGCTGTTTTGCCTCTTTGCCCGGTTGCTTTTTTGCCTTTGCGATTTCCGTTGACTTGCAGCTGGGGGAGCGTTCTTCGTAGTCGTTCGAAAGGGTTGGGGACTTCTCTCTCCAGTTCTTCGGCAATTCTTCCAGACCCTCTTCTTCACAAGTCTCCCCTTTCTCCCAGCGACAACTTCCTCTCGATGCTGTGCTGCGCATGCGTGCCAGTGACTCGGTTTCCCTGCCAGATGGTCTCTCTTTCGTCTTTGGCCCTTGTCTTTGCTGCCTGGCTGGCCGTTGATTACATTTATTAATTATATAATTAAATCTGTAATAGCAGGCCACTCCGATCACTTGGTTTCTTGGCCTGGCCTTTGTTTCTCTCGGTCCGCGTAATTGTTTTCAAGCTGGCCAAAACATCCGTTCTCACACACGAAACGAAACGAAACGACAGAATGACAGAGCTCAAACCACTTCCACTTCCCGTTTTTCGGTTTTGGTGTTTGTCATTACATTTTGGCCCCGGGGGTTAAACAGGTGACCATTCAACCCTTAACCCCTGAGAATATTGGGGGCACTGCAAGGGTCAAAATGCGGTAACGGGATATGTCTGCAGACGGTTCAAAGGGGTTAATAAGGGTGAGGGATCAATGGATGGTCAGGGGTTCATTGGTTTCTTGGGGTTAGCAGGGGAAGTGATTAACCGTATTCTAGGGGAAGGAAAAATAAATAAAATTCTGGGAATTTCATAAAGTATTTTCTTTAGATTTAAACTAAAATAAACAACTAATTTAAAAAAAAGGAATACAAAATATAATAAATATTTGCATACAGCTAAGATATACAAACATTAAAGATATCGAATTAAAAAGCCATCTAAATTTCCCACAAAAACCTCTAGAGATATTAAAATAACAAGAATAAACACCTTAATTGCTTCCTTAAAATTTCCACAGCTTTAAGGTAAACACTAAAAACCATCGCCTGATCAATCGGATATTTAGGGAAATTATCTCCGATGATCTCAGAGGATCGTTTCCTCTACGGAAAAAGAATGAACTTCCCCATCGAATTCAATTAAAAGTTCCCCCTTTTTCCCCGATCCTCAAATCCAATTGTTGATGATCCATCCATCCATCTATCCACCTTCCAGAAAACTTAGCCTTGAGGGTCACCGCGACTAATTAAGCAGCGATCGAGGGAATCTTAGCTGCTCTTTCTTATACATTTTAACTCTTTCGACTCGTTGTTTATCCTCCGGTCTCATCAGATCCGCCTCGATCAGCCCCCGTACAGCTCGTACATCAAAGAGTTTCACTTTATCGAAGGCACAATCTAAGCCAAACACGCCCCACTCTCGCACATCCTCAACCGCCGTCGTCGTCGTCTCCCACTGACTGACATCACCATCATCTTGGAGCACGGAGGAGCATGGAGTGGATCATTGGACCATTGCCGATCATCTGCATCTACACATCTACCGGCGAATACATTTATTTTCCCTCCTCGCAACTCGCAACTCGCAACTCTCGGCCTGCCTGCACTTAAAAACTAAAAACCAAAAGCCAAAACAGCAAACGGAAGTTGGAGGCGTTACCCAGCGCCAAATCCAAATCCATCAGTCACTTAACATATGGACGTTGCGATGCGAATGTGTACGAGTCTACGAGCAATTTATACAGGGGGATATCTAGCTAAGGCTACTACAGTACAACTTATGTTATACGAACTTTTCCAGTTCGATTAAATTAGATCTCTAGCGATCAAAAATAATAATATTCCTTGAGGTTTTGGATAAGATTTTCTTAAAGAAATTAAAAGAAGTCAGAATAGGAATGGTTTTTATTTTCAATATATATAAAACTGTGCTTAAAAAAAGAGAGGTTTAATGCAGAGCCTAAACTATTAAACCTATGAAATCCATATTTTTACCAAATATTCTTTTTATAGCTAAGAATTTTACTAAGAAAGGATTTCGCCCGAAGTGGAAACAATCATTTCAAAGAAATATTTTCTTTATGACTTGCAGTTAGTACCAATAGCAATAATTATTATAATCTTTGGGGACACAGAACTAAAAGTAATTCATATTTACAGAAGTTAAGTTTATTATATTTTAAAAATATTCAATAGCATGCAATTATACTAATGATATCCCTTAAATCTTATAAAAATATTTATTAAGTATTTTTCTTCGCTAGACATTTTTTAATGTACTTAGGAGAATCTCCACTGTAATTGCCTGCAATCTGGTTGCCTCCTAAAGACGGTCTTTAAAGCCGGGGAGACAGACTCTGGGCAGATCACTTGCAGATCGTCTTGCATATGTGTATATAGATATTATTTTGCGGCCTGTTGTGCTGTTGCGTTTGCCTTTGCTTTTACCCAAACCCCAAAACAAAACAACACAAAACCAAAACCGCAGAGAAACCAGAAATCTGGTGCCAGAAAGAGTTTTCGGTTGCACCCGGTGGATGTTATGTTATGGAGATGGAGAGTGAGATCGAATCGAAGGCGATCGATATCTTTTAATATTTTCATTCATGCCCCAAGTGGTGCCTGTGTTGTAGCGGAAATGAAAGCTCATTCAGTGCGCTGCTACTGCTGGTTTTTGTTAATTAAATGGCCTCGGGCTCGGCCTCTTGCAGTTTTTCGATTTATATATACACGTATCGGTATATTTATATAGTAGCAAGTAGTTTGCCTTGCCTTTCGTTCCGATCGGTGGCCTCCTTCCCTTTTTCTGTTGATCTTGCCTAATTTATGGGCTGCGAGTTAAGTTTAAGTAGGTAAGGGTGTCTCCACCTCCCCCCCGAAAGGCCCCTCCTTCTGTATCATTTCTGATTATTCTCAGACCTGTCGGGGCATTTAAGTGCGAGATTTAAGTATTATTTTTTATTTCGCCGTTCGCCTCAATTGTTGAGCCTTCATGGGCTTACGACTTCCGTTGTCGCCGCAATAAGAACCGAGTTGATCTACGCAATTCTTTTTTCTTGTGAATGAATGATTCTTCGCTGAGTGAAAGAGTCTTAAGAGCTTTGGCACTGCGATTGTGAAAGTGTATATTTTATGGGGGAAAAGAATGATATGGGGTTGGGAAATCCCCTAGATTGTTTTCTTTATTTAGCAGGGATATTA